AGGAGCCGCCGCGATGGCTCAGGAGAAAATGGAGCTGGACCTGGAGCTGCCGCCGGGGAGCGCCCCGGCCCCGAGCGACGGGGGCGGCCTGAGGAGATCCAACAGCGCCCCCCTCATCCACGGCCTCAGGTGGGCGCGGGGGCGGGGCCTCAGGCCAGGTCCAGGTGGGGCTGGAAGTACCGACCCCCTGTCCGCCGCGTCCAGGTCGTGTCTGAGACGGCTCGAGATGTCATAGAAGGGATCATACAGGCTCCCGCTGCGTTGGGTTCCCTCCAACTAGGGTTCGGATGGAGACTTCGGGCAGATGCGTGGGTTTTGCAGGCAGCGACGTTATGGTTCGGTACCTCCTTCCCTGTGGGACTGTATCCTTGTCTCAAAGGGTGGGGGGCAGGTATTTGGGCCAAATGTCACGCCCTTGGGTTGCATTTTTGGGGCCAGATGTGACACCGGAGATGTTGGGCACCTTCTTAGAAGATGTGGGACTTAGGCCTGCTGTCATTGGAAACCGGTCATGGTCGACCCGTACCGCATAGGCCACTAGTGGCCTGGGCAGCCCTTGTGTTGGACACGTGGTAGATCAGGCGGCGGGTAAAGAGCAGAGCTGCGGATTAGACGGGGAGTGGGGGCAGATAGGGCGAAGAACAAAAAGCAGAGCAGCGGATCAGGCAGGGGAACGGGGGTGGCACTTAGGGCAGGGCAGGACTCTTTCTGCCAAAAAAAAAAAGGTTGGCCACCACTGGTTTAGATTTGCTTGTCTGCACTTCCCCTGAGGTTTCAGTTGCACGGCATTCGTCCACTCCCATTTTTCACATTTTGCCGTGTTGCTATGTGGCATTTCAGTAGTCGTACGCATCTCGGTGGTAGTGATGCGTAGAGTAGTAATCCCTTGGTCCTTGCGTATCAGTTTAGTTTTATAAACCTTTGGGATACCTCATGATACTATGAACCCCTGGGACTGATGATACTACGAGCAATGTGTTAGGAGCAAAAATGCTCTCGGAAGTGGGTGCATACAGGAACATCGCTTCCTCGTACCTGTAGCATCTCTGGGTTGCAATTCTGCATTAACAGTGAGGCCGATATATGGCTGCTGACCTGTAGATATCATTTTGGGTCATCTTAGTGTGTGCTGGTAAACAACATGCAGTGCTGAGAAAGTTGTCAGAAAGATATGGCAGGTGTTAGACTTCATAAAACGCAGCGTAGAAAAACGGGATTTTTAAAGAGTTTTATTAGAAAGCTAACGGGCACTGTAAAACCCTCTGTTCTCCTGCACTGAAATTGCTAACATTGGTTTAAAAAATTGGGGAACTTTAACTCTTCTCTCTAGTCATTTTTTAGCATTAAGTGATTCTCTGGTTACAGCAGTGTCTATTTGTTCTGCAATAGAATAAAGCAGACAGAAACATCTTTGAACTTTTAAGCTGTGCAAGAGGCAAAATGTCATGGATAGTTATTCTTCAATTGAGTGATGTAGTGTGCAAATATGTTAACTGAAGTAGGAAGCAGGCCAAGAAGAAAATAAAGAGACCATGACCTAAACCTTAGAGGAAAGCTTCATGGCTGGCTATGATCTATAGCAAAGACTCCTTCATGCACAAAATTATTAGGCAAAGAAATGGTTAACAAACACCAAATCCTGGATTATTTTTAAAAAATAAAAAATCCCCAGGGGGAAAAAAAGCAACTGAGAGACTTACAGAGAATAAATAAGCTAGTATATGAACTTATAGAGCATCACTGCTTTGCAGTAACTGCCTGTACATATGCTTTTTCCATGTGGTAACTGGAGGACAAATTACTTCGCATTTACTTCAGGGTAAATGCATGTCCCTGGGCAATTCACTTGTTAGCGCATTGGGTATACTTCACAGTAACATCTTGGTTTACCCAGCAGTAAATTGTTCATGTGCCCATATCCTCACTGAACAGAAACAACTTCCTGCTTATATTGTAACCATTTTTTTTTCTTTTGGGGTAAAAAAAATTAATAAATAAAAGGAAGCTGAGCTCCTCGGTTGCCTTGGAGGCCCTGCGTTGCCCCAACCTAAGCGGGGTGCTTCCACAGACCTGTATAGGGCTTCCAGTACACCCGTTCATTTGGTAGGGAGCTTGAGATCCAGGCAGCTGGAGGGCCTGCAGCATTTCCTAAATGAAACAGTTTGTTTCTTGGGAGGGTGCAAAATCAACTTATTTTGCAATGTCACTTTCACAGGAGTCTTTCCAATTTCTGTTTTAATCTGAATTAAAAAAAAATTGGAAACATCTTCATTTTCTATGAAAGGGAAGTTTTCAGTTTCTGAAAAAAACCTGTTGGTTTTTGCCAATCATGGTCTCTGTGTTCGTTTGCTTAATACGTAACTGCTAGTCTGAAGATTGAAGTCAGTGGAAGAGAAAGGGTTAGATGCCTCCAAGCCTAGTCGCTCTTCAGGCTCTCAGTCAATCTCAATTGTTTTTGTTTTTTTCCTGGGGATTTTTTCACTTTTTAAATAATCCAGGATTTGGTGTTTGTTAACCATTTCTGTGCCTAACAGTTTTGTGCCATGAAGGAGTCTTTGCTGTAGACCAGTGATTCTCAACCTTTTTTGTACCAGGATGGGTGTATGGGGCATGAGGGGGGAGGCATACAGCCCCTTGCAGGCTGGAACTCTGCCAGCCTGCAAGGGAGAAGCCAGTTTCCCATGTTTTTCTACTTTAAAGGAGAATTTTTAAAGTTTGTTTGTGGCCCTCATATTTTCTTGCAACCCACTTTTGGGTCGCGACCCATGGGTGCGGTAACGCTGCTATAGACCACAGCCAGGCATGAAGCTTTCCTCTGAGTTTTAGGTCATGGTCTCTCTTTGGTTCTTGGCCTGCTTCCTACATCGGTTAACACATTTGCATTTACAATAGAGCAGCTGAATGGAGTTGCCTCAAGTTTTCATAGATTCATAGATGTTAGGGCCGGAAGGGACCTCAATAGATCGTTGAGTTTGACCCCCTGCATAGGCAGGAAAGTGTGCTGGGTTCAGATGACCTCAGCCAGATGCCTATCTAACCTCCTCTTGAAGACCCCCAGGGTAGGGCACCACCTTCCTTTCCTCCAACTGTGATCAATGCCTGTGTCCATTCCCCCATATTTGGTGTTGGTGAGAATGCAAGCAGTATTTTTATTCCAAATGAAGGGCAGTAAGTGTGTGGCTTCCAGGGCTTCTATGAAGTAGTTGGCATTAGTTTTGATATTATTTGGTAGCTTTACGCCACAGTATGCCTACATAAAAACCATATTACTAGATGCAACAAACAAACATTTTGAACCATAAACAGCAGCTTCAGAAGACATGGTCAGTTCTCCCCTTGATAAAGCAAGCTAATGTTACCTGCCAGTTTGGTGTTTAAAACCTTGTAAGGTGGGGTGTGAAATGTTCTGCACGCACTGGTAAGGTAATGAATGGTTGTCTCCATCCAGCTGAGAATAGAAATGAACTGAGACAAAATCGGATAAACTGGGTAGTTTAGTTTTTTCACTGGGGCTCTGCATAGGCCTAGCAATCAGGTTGCGAGGTTGGGGCCTTGAACTGTAGGAACTGAACATGTTTTTATGGTAATTAGAATTACAGTCTGACCTTTTTCACTGAGTATAAAGTTTGGGTGTTAGGAATGTAGTTAATGGAAGAAGCAGCAGGTATCAAAAAAGAAGAGAGCCAAACTGTCACCTCAGGAAAGAGAGCACTTTTCATTAAGTAAATATTGTAACACAATATTACTAAAATCTGCCCCTTCATCTTGTTAGATGTTGCTATACTCATAAACAGGGATCCTCATTTTCTGTGGAGAAGAAGTGGAAAATTTTTAAAAACACAAAATCCACTTTTTTTTTTTTTTTTTGCAGCCTACCAAAAGCACATCTGTGTCCTGTGATGAGTAGCAACATTTCTGTGCTCTTTCTTTTTCCATGGTTTTTGCTCTTGGCCAAGGCGCCCCCCCCCCCCCCCAGCTGATGATTGGCTGAGAGGAAAAAAAACATGGCAAAAATAAAAGCAGAAATGGCGCCATGCATTGCAGGGTGCCACTGCTTTCGGTAGCTCACAGAAAATCACAGATTCCACAGGTTTCTGTGGTTTTCCATGGTGAACGAAAAACTAGGATCCCCAATCATAAGTACTAAGACTTAAATAGATATACTGTATGTCTGTTTTAACCTGCTGAGTGTTGCATTAGCCTTTTGCTGAAGAAGAGTCTCTTAACTTAAAGTTGCTGTCAGGGATAAGACTTGCAACAGAATTTATTTTTGATTTCATTGGTGTAGAGGTTTGCTTTAGTGATTCCATCTATATTCACAAAATTATCCTAGTGAGCAACTTGTTTTCTGGCAAGGACTGCTTGTACTTTCACTACAAATTCATGCTTTACCACAAACCCTCCCCCCCCCCCAGCAAACAGCCATAAACATTGTGCAGCCACTCTGAAGACTCAACATGATTCTCATTGTTAACTAGAGCAGTTTGGGCCTGGGGAGGGAAGGGACGGGGGGTTGGTTTTGGCTGATTCTCAACCAGGATGCCTTGAGATCCTTTCAAGGGTGCCGTGCAGTTTTGGCACTGTTAGGTGGGCAAATGTGATTCACAAGATAAATGCAGAGATTTCAAATAGAAATCCATAGTTGTGCCTTTTAAGGTCTTTGCAACAGAAAAACTGCTGTATTATTTTTCTCAGTCAAAGAAAAGTGAGAGCATTTTCCAAGGTATGCCTTGTATCTAAAAATGGTGAGAACTATTGCTTTAGGGGATAGGGTTGAAATAAGCTTACATAGCTGTGCCTTGAAAACAATTTACATTGAAATAATAGCTGACATTGCATTTAAAATAAACTTATCATAAAAGCTTTTTTTTTTTCTGAGTGGATAAGTGGCTCTTCCATTTGACAAGTGTTTCTTTTTACAGCGATAATTCACAGGTGTTCCAGGCTAATGTTTTGCGAACCCGCAGGAACAGTACGACAGTTATGAATCGTCATAGTCTGGTAAGAAAACTATTACAGCAATCGCATTAGGCTTAACATGTAAGTGAGCAGACGAGATTAAAGAATAAAACGAGGCTGTTGACTGAAATTAATACTGCATACTTACAACAATGGTAAAACACTACTTAAAGACCATCTGGCTTAAGAAAACAGATTCAATTCTGAAGATAAGCTAATTTGTTTAAGCTACTGTTTTAAAATTGGTTAAAAAGGCCAATTTGCAGGAAAAAACCCATGTATTTAGTTCAGTTAACCTGGAATCCCAGTAATCTCTGCTTTAAAATTTGATTAAAACAACCTGACACCCTGACTCTAAACATTGCCTGTACTACTGATCCTAAGGATCAGACTCTCAGGACTATACAGTCTGACTTTCTGGATCGCCCAAACCATAAGATTTCCCTGAATTAAAAGAACATACACTTGTTTTAAAATTTTTCCATTATTACAATTCTGTAAACTTAAATGGCTTTATTAACACATCACTTTTAATTTAGTACAGTACTTATCCATCTAAAGAAAGCACAACTTTGACTTTTAAAATATTGTTGATCTTTTATGTATATCATCCATTGTGTGAATTGTTGTGGAAAAATGGTTTGGATTGATTTGGTAATATTTTAGAATTGGGTGAAGAAAAAGTAAAATGGATTGCTTGTCTGTACTGAAAGATCCCAATACCTGTGGGTTTTTGAGGTGTGATCAGAGGAGAAGACTTTTTGCCTGGCTTTTCTTAAAAATAAAAGCGTAAGTGTTAAATTTCTCCCAAAATATGCTCCAACTCTGTGTTGGGGAATAGGTCAGTTTAATGCAATTAAACTGGTGTAGGTCATCAGTTTAATACAATTAGTAGTTAATGCACTACAAGGATAAAGAGTGTCTTGAGCAAAAGAAAACTGACAGCACAAATATGGGAAATGATGTCTAATTCTATATTGTTGACTTGGTCTCTGTTTGGGTTACCTCTCTGGTGGGGGAAGGGAGGGATAATACCTGTCCTCTCCCCCTTTCAGTTTCATAGTAACTATGAAACTCTCTCCCTCCCTTATCCCAAGAAAATTAAAACTGGAGTTTAGAAAACTGCTTTAGACCTATTACAGAAAAAAAATAATTCTTGATGGTTTTAAGTTAGTCTTTCCAGGCCTTTGAAGCAGTGTTGGCTACTTAAGGAATAAAGCATAACAGCAGAAGCGCCACAACTGTGGTTGAAGAAACACTTAATTAGAAGCTGTCCTATTCAGGCATCTTTGGAATTCATTTTAGGCTGGTATTTCCATATTTGCTTTCAAGCTTTTCTTTCCAGCAGTTCACTGGACTTCCTTCAGTCCTGCACAGCTTCACTTAAACAGATGGTATCAAAAGGATCAACAGCTGACAGAGGGCAGTCTCCCTTTAAGAAACATCATTTTGAAATTGAAGTTCTTTTTCAGTTCACCTGAAGTGGAGCCACACAGGACCCATGGTGCCGCTCTGTCTTTTCAGTCTTGAAGATTAACTGAGGCAAAAATATTTCATGTACCTCAAATAGAAATTAGCTCTTTGCTTTTTCTATTTTAATACAAGCAACAGTAGTTCAGAAGAGTAAGTTAATGACCTGACATGCAGATGAGCGAGCCCTGTAGACAAAATTGAGACTGATGAGAAATAACTATTGGAAATGGACAGTCATAACAACAGTGGTAGCAAGAATATTCCCAAAAATGAGCTATGTGCTTATTTGGTAAGAAATCAGGTGTTTTCCAGGGAAAGAAAATTATTTTCAGTGATTTCCTGATTCCCAGATTTGGTGTCTATCAACTCGCTTCTAGCAATGCGTTGTGGGATCAGCTCATCAGAAAGAAGTACTCATATGTCCAGCATCCAGTTCATATTTCAGGAGGATGTATTTGGATCAGCTTCATTTTAGAAATATTAGGGACAAACACCTGGAGCTGTAAACTTTGTTCCTCAAAGCTTCCTTTTCTTCCTCCTTCCCCACCACCCCCTGCATCTTGCCAGCAGCAGATAACTAAACTTTTTATGTATTTTTTAAAAAAGGTTGCATTTAAAGACCCTAAAGCAGTTGCTTGGTCTTTTGGAAAAGCCCTGGCTGACTCTCAGGAGCTCTGAAATGGGCAGGTTTGTTTTGATGCAGGTTAGGCTGAATCAAGATTTGTTTTAGGGCCCCTAGTTTGGCTTTTAAGGAATATAACACTTCAAAGTGCCCAGGAGTCAGCAGTCCTGGCAGGCGGGATGAGGAGAAGAAGCGTGAGGAGCTTTGCAGATTTAAATGATCACCTAACAGTTTGTAATAGGGACATTAGCAGTTTCTGACCAGTTTTATTTTCTCAGACAAAAATTAAATTAGTAGCCATTTAGTATTGCTGCGGAAGTGGTATTAGATCTTAGAAGTGCAGAAAGAAGGTGAAGTATAGCAGTACCTTTAAAGGAAAGGAAGCAAGTTATTGAAATGAGGTGTTTGTCTTTCTCTGCTACTCTTACTATTCTGCCGAAAGCCAGCTTTTTCAGTAGGCATTGTATGAAGACTTAAAACTCATGCTTTTTTAAAAGGATTTCCAAAATAAACTTACATATTAATAAACTGATCAGCACTTTAAGTAAAGTGCACTTTAAGTAAAGTAATATTTTAATGATGGAAGAACCAGAAGTGACAAATACATGCCCTGCTCTGATTTTTTTTTTTTTTTTTTTTGTAATGTGTGTGATATAGGTAGTCTCATTGCTTGCGAGTCTTCTGAGAACACTGGGCAGAATTAACTGTAGTCAGCTATTTAATGATTTTTTTAAAATTCTTGTAACTTGGGGAGGGACCTTTGGAACTAGAAACAACTATCCAAATTGTCGTGCAGAATAAAGGTCCAGGAATGAAAAAATAGGTCTTAATGGTTTTAAGTTACACGTGCAAATTTTTTCATACTAGATTTAATTTCTTATTCATAAGATGCAGTCAGTAATACTGTGTACCTAGATTGTGTTGAATAAATGTCTAAGGGAATAGCTTGGAGTATGTCTGGAATTATAATGAAAGTTTCTTGAGTGGCTTCATGCCAAAGTCCACCTCCACATGCAGAGGACTGAAAGCCATTGCAGTTAACCAGCTTTGTTTCTGATCCCTCCTCATCTTGATGAGTGGTTTTTCACATCTCAGGCTTCCAGCCATCCTTGTTCTAAAGGTGGGACCATACATGTGCCTTCAGCCTGTACCATGAGATTATTTCCTCCTAAGTGCAGGACTTTGCACTTGTCCTTATTGAGTGTCATGAGATTTCTTTTGGTCCAGTCCTCCATGCTGTTGAGATCTCTGAATCCTAGCCCTACCCTCCAGCATATCTACTACTCCCCACAGCTTGGTGTCATCTGCATGCTTGTTGAGGGTGCACTCCATCCCGTCTTCCAGGTCATTGATGAAAATATTGAACAAACCTGGCCCCAGGACAGACCTCTGTGGCACTCTACTTGATACCAGCTGCCAACTAGGCATCAAATTGTTGACTACTACCCTCTAAGTCCAGTGATCCAGGTAGCTGTCTATCCACCTTGCAAACAAGTTCTTTCTGTTTCAGGAAAAAGTGTCCTTTAAAAGCCGGTCAGTGTTTTGATTATTCCTTGTCATAAAAATCAAGTCACTCTTTGGCTCTTAAGCTCCGTGACGTCTAGTTCCCTGCAGAACAAGGCTTGCAACTTGTTGGACACAGGAGGTAGGATCCTCAAATCTAATTGCTTTCCCTGCTATCTTTCAGGTGTGTGCAAGGGTATTCTTTAAGAGCTATTGTCTTTTTTCCTGGCAATATTCCCCACTGATATTCTGCTGATCTTGTTATATAGTATTAATAAAATTATTAAATAGCAATTTCAGCCCCGCCAAAGAGGCTATCAGGGTAGTAGAACCGGGGGTGTTTCTATCATAGGGACCTGCCTGGGTGTGTGTGTGTTGTGGGAGGGAATGACTGAGCTTTCTGAATGGATTGGTGCTCAGCTCTGCCACTTCCCCAAGTCATGCATGTGCTACACCCCCAGTAGACTGGATGCAGAGTGGGAGTGGATAGGAATCTGCTATTGTCAGATCCTATGCACTGCAGGAAGGTCACAGAGCCAGCGTGAGCTGCTATGTGCTTTGTTTGCAGCTTGCTTTTTGTTGCAAAAGTGCTTTGGAGCCCAGTGGCACAGCAGAGCTGCGCTTGGTTGACTTAAAAAGAGCTAATCAGAGCTATTCAGTTTTTACATTACCTTCTGTGTATGTGCCTGCAGAACAGTTTGTGGTCTGCATCCAAGAACACTTTTGTATTCTATGCTGACTGGAGGTTGATGTAGCAAATGGATGAGTGAATGTTGATTCAGTGAGAATCAGAAAGGACTTAAAGTATGTTTCTGTGGGAAGCTGTAGAAGGCCACTATTTGGAGCTCGGAGTTTTGTGCCTACCCAAGCATATGCGGTTTATGCTGCAGTTCTTTTTACGTAGGCTGTGACGCATCCTGTGTTGTATGACAGAATGGCGTGCATTTAATGCTGCTCTTGTCCCTGTTGCATTTGGTATCATTGGTTTTTGCTCGAGAATCTTCACAGCATCTGTGGTTCAAGCTAGAGCTTCTGGTTATTGACTGTGGTGAGCACCATAACTCACTACAATGTGAGAGGGGAAGGAAGAGCAAATACACCATGAAGAAAATTTGCTTGCTACAAATATAGTGTGTGGGGGTAGGTTACAGTGCCTCAATAAGCAGGTGTAAATGTTTAGCTGTTTATGAAGGCTGGCATTAAGGCTAAGTACAGACAGTCAAAAAGCCCGAGGCTGAATCAGTTCACTCTTTGCAGGTTAGTCTAAGCTGTGTAGATTGAACCGATAAGCAAATGACCAGACATTCACTTTTGATTCTGGAAATGCAGCCACATGCTTGGGCTAGAAGCTGGGGCGGGGGGTGCTAGAGCACTTCTCCCTGCTTGGCTGGAGTAGACAGCTTGGGCCAAGGCTGGCCCACCCACCCTGCAAAGGGGAGGTTGCGGGGGAAGTACAAAGCATCCTGGGGTGTTGGCAGGTTGTGAGTTAACTTGAATCCGGAGGGGATATAGGACAGAAGTTAAACCTAAATCAGTTAAGTCTAATACTACATCCATCCAGGTTTATCTTAAACTGGCGTCATCCATTTTGAAAGCGGTTTATGTGCACTAAACTTCTGTTGTATTACAGATGTGAACCGGTTTCCAATCACTTAGACCAGTTGATGGGTAATTTCTGTCCCTAGCCTAACATACAGTGAGCATGATGTTGAGAGTTTTGCTTTGTGAACTCCTGTAAGATCTTTGGAAAATCTAGTTTGATTACTAAGGGTATACTGCATTTTCTTATGTATCACAGGCCCCCAAATAAGGCATGCATCTTGTGGTTTGGTAGGTAGAACGTTGAAAAAACGGGTTTTCCAGAGTCATAGTCTAGAGCTGGCTTTTTTGTGGGATGCAGGGGAATCGTATGGCTGATATGTGAGTAAATACAGCATTTAAAATAATAAAACGATGTTAGTTAAATCTTTATAGTGTGTTATGTTGTTACCAGATGGGCTACTCAGTAGCTGTGATCTCCCTGATTAACAGATAACTTTTTTCTTTTCTGCCAGATGCCATTTTAAATAGAATACAAAAAAACTCCAAAACCCACCATTTGTTTGTGGCAGTGATGTCATTTTCATGTCAACTTCCATCTTTCTTTTAAATGTGGAGCTCTTAGAACGCAGAGCAATTTGTGCGAACGCCCCATACTGTGTATCTTACTATTAAAGCTAGCATGTGTTTTTTCATTTCATTGTATGCAAAATGGTAAGTCCTGTTTTGGGGCTGTTGAAGGGGCTTGCTAATATTTCCTCCCGAGATTCAGAGAGTATTAGGAAGTAGGTATTGGCTTCCTGGTTTTGGGGGGGGTTGCAGTTTTAAGAATGTTTCAGCAGTATGATTGTTTTGGTTTTTTTAGTTGTTGCCATCATCTCCTGTTCGTATTCCTAGCAGCCGCCTTCATCAAATCAAACGGGTAAGAGCAGATTCTGTTTCTTTTTGTAAATATAATTACAAATGATCGATTGATTTCATTTAGAAGCAAGTTTGTCTATAAAGTGTTTACACTTTTCTTTCATTTCAGTGTGCCTTTAAAAGAAAAAGGAATCTCATTTCAGAGTTGCCAAGCTTTACAGACTGTAGAATATCTTTTTATGCCATTGTATACTGAAGCCCTGCTTTCTCCTTTACAAGTGGTGATCTGCCAAACATTTTTCTCTTCTACGTACAGAGGGGGTGGTTCCTACCTCTTTAACATCTCCTGCAATCTAGACCGTGGGGTTCTTGGCATTTTTCTGAACTTGAGTATATTGTTGTCTTCCCGTTTGCAGTGGGTGTTCTCAGAGAGCCATTGGCTTTGGAACATCCCAAGCACAAGGTGTCATGATCTGACCCATTACAGGGGCTGGAACTACTAGGAGTTTTGTGTGTGGTGTGGCACGTTAGGGTTAATCAGAGAAAGTGACCTGAGTTTAGTCAGAAACAGCCTCGAGACAGGAGGCGCACTATTCAGCAGCCTTAACATGCAGCACGTTCAAGACTGAAAAGCTAATATGATGCTGAGGGATTACAATAGAGGAGGGGCCCACCGAACCAGGTGTCCTGCACCTTCATGTTTTCTGTCTCTCTCGGTCCTCCTTCTCATGAAACACTTTAAGTTACCTTTTCTTTATATAATGGTTTATTAAAGCTTTATAGAAGCATCTTCTTATCTTGGAAGCTGGATTTTATCCCTTTCTGGCTTTGGGCTTTTCAAAACCTGGTGGTCTATTAAGTCTGTACAATATTATTTTATCCCTTGATTGCACCAAAGCTCAAACATGAATGCGTTTTGACTCTGAATAAAATATTATATTAAATGCATTCTTGTTGTACTTCATTAGTTATGAGCATGTTTCATTATGGTTAATTCAATCCAAAGCATTTGAATTAAAGGAAAAATTTAGGTTTTTCTTTCAGAAGGAGAGGAAGGATCCTAAAAAAGTGAATTTCCAAAGAGAAACCTCACGTAATGCAAACTCTGCAATAGGGATTTGGGATATTAAGACTTGATTGAAGCAGAGCCATAAAATATGCTGGTTTTTTTTCTGTTACTCAGGTGGTTGAGGCATTTACCTTCATGCACTTGGGAAATGCAGTCATACCTTAAAATTATATTGCCTGCCATGTTAAATTGTTTTTTATAAGAAGAAATATTAAAATTCTATACTGAGGAATGTCTGGGGTAGTTTCCTCAGTCTTTAAGAGGTGTTGTGAAAACAAAGTAGCTTCTGCTTCATGTGGACCTTATGCAGTTATATTTCATGAGCACACTAGGAGATTTGTAAGGAAATTTTGCTTTCTCTCTGAAGGAACCAAAGCTAGGCTCACAAGCACCTGAGACATGTAAATAATGCTCTGATAAGACAGTGACCATACATGTCTTGCTGCTTATACCTAGCAAAAGCCTGAGATTATCAACACTTACAGTAGTTAAGTTACAATTTTTTCCCTTTATATCCAAGTGAACTGAAAAGGGAGTTCTGACCTATGTAAAAAAAAAAAAATCTTTCCACACACATTCCTACAGATTCCTCTATTCATCTCTTTCAGGAAGAAGGAATGAGTTTGATGAACAGAGAAACAGTACATGAACGGTGAGTGTTAATAGGCCAATGAGAGTACTTTAACTCGGTCTCTGTGGGCCTAGAACAATGATTTTTTTTTTTTCCTCTTTATAGGGAAGTGCAAACAGCGATGCAGATGAGCCAGTCATGGGAGGAAAGCTTGAGTCTGGTAATATGCTTATACTGCAGACTGAAGTTCCTTTTGTCAGTGTTATAGTATTATCCCTATTCTGTTGTCCACAGAATACTAATTTCTCAAAAAGAATTTCAACAGATTGGGTTTGTTGCTAAGCATCGCTAAATTTAGATCTAGCAATAAACTTTGCGGTCACCTTATTATAGGTTTTTTGTAATAATGGGGTATGACGTTCAGGGGCATATGGTTATCATGCTAGCTATGGGGTTGCTTTTTGGCTTGATATGCTCAAAGGAAGCTTTGTTCACGCCTATCGTAATTTTAATTTGTTCTGACATCAGCACATCATGTTTAAAACTACTTTCATCAAAAATATAAAATTTGTCCCTTACATAATCACATTAGTGAATTCTTATGGGTAACCACTTGTGCGGATAACTTCAGCATCTGGTTCCATTTCACACACAGCAGTCCTTGAACTGATTAGTAATGTAGAGCTTGGCCCATAAAATATTGCTTTAAAGCAGTTGGCGGTGATTGCATGTGCTATTATACTTACAGAGTGACAGTGATTTTGAGAAATCATCATCCCCCAAGCAAGTAGACTTTGTCCCAGTTTCTCCAGCTCCTTCCCCCACCAGAGGAATAGGGAAGGTAAGAAAAATGAAGTACTAAAAATCTTGCTTCATGAATACCAATAGTACAAAGCAGTTAGTTATTACAAAAATAAATAAAACATATAATGAAGCTTTACTGCCCGCCTGAGCTCTGCATGGCCATATACTGTAAACCAAAAATTAAAAGATGAAAAATGCGAAGTAGCAGCTGTACAAACTATAGATACACATTTATATACAAAATACCCGATAAGTGTCAATGCTAAGCGAATCTGTTGATAAATAAATACCATTTTTTGTCTGCCTTTCCCTACCAGTGTGGGGTGGGAGTCCTTTCTCATGAGTTGGTTTGATCAAACTGGCCAAGGAAATAAACACATGAACCAAGTTGTGAGCTCTATGTAGAAGTAATATATCCCAGAACTTTTCTGTGATAACCCAAGGTGACATCTTAATGTTCCCAGCCGTAGATACTAGGATTTTTAAATAGATTATGGAATACATCGACTAATCTGGCTTGCTTCCTGTGTTAAGGCCTGAATAGTATTAATATTCCCAGATTTTTCCGTTTTCTACATGTTAGGAGGTTTGTTTTTCTTGTGTATGTGTATGTATTTCTACTACAGAAATGAAGTATGATGTTTGTGTATAAATAATGCAACATGTTTTGTTCTCAGCAATGTTTCTCACCGGCTTTGCAAAGTCTGGTTAGTAGCAGTGGGTTACCTCCAAGTCCTAGCCCTAGTCCAACCAGGCGTTTCTCAAAGTAAGTATGAGACTGTATTGTTAATGTTTTACAGTTTTATTTACTTGTGACTTCTGAAGCATAGGTTTTGTCTTAAGGCTATTCTTGATGTCACATCACAAGTCCTACAGAGGGACTGACTCAATTCATAATTTTGACTGGCTGTTTGTGGCAGAGCTGGTTGATCAACTGAGTCACTTAGTCTTCCCCATCTGTAAAGGACACATTATTTTGGCCATGGCAGTGTCTTGTCCAGCAGTGTCATGCAAACATGGTGAATCTCTTTGGTACTGCTGCTGACTCTCACACTTTAAGAGGCCGGAATCCTTCTAGGTTTTAGTTTAAAGGACTGTCTTATTTTGGGGTGCCCTTCTCACCATCAGTAAGTATACATGCTAATCAAGAAGCATTTGAGAGTTTAAGCTGATTGTTCTTAACCAGGGTGCTCTGGCTGTAGCACTAATGTCCTTTTGCTGCCTTAGGACTCACTGAGAACCCTAAAGCAGGACAAGAGAGCTGGCCTGGACTGTAGCTCTTCTTGGTCCCAACCTCCTCGCACTCTTCCCAGAAACAGGAATACAGGATGGTTCTCCCAGATGCCTCTGTTTCCAGAAGGAGTGTAGAGGGGACCAAACCAGGAAGGGCTACAGCCCAGGCCAGCTCTCCTGTCCTACTTCAGGGTCATCAGGGAGCCCCAGTGCAGAAGGAGTACAGGTACGTGCCACAGCTCTTCCTGGACTGGCTGTGCAGCAGGCATGCAGACTGTTTTACCTAGAGGCAGAATCACCTGGTTGAGAAGCACTGAGGTTGGGGCAGCACCAACTGTGGTCCTTAACCAGAGATGCTGCCACATTGGAAAAAAGTGGTGGGGAGTCCCCCGACTGAAAAGGATGAGAACTGACTTATGCACTTGTTAGGCTGGACATATTGAAAGCATATCCAGTAGGCTCTTTGATTTCTCAGAACAAGTGTCGGTAGCATTGTTTTTAGAGTAGTGTTATGTATGAAAATTGTTGGGTCATTCTGCCTCATAGTCTCTTACCTTTCCTATTGGTGCTCGCCTTTCAATAGAGCCCTGCATCGAATGTCTTCAGTTAGTCTCTTTATCTACTGATTTATTATTTTTATTTTTTAAAGCAGGAGAAGCCAGAGTCCTATCAACTGCATTCGCCCAAGTGTTCTTGGGTCAATAAAAAGAAAAGGTACATCATGCATTTCTAATTCAATGTTTAGGCATAATTGTTAACTTTTATATGTCTGTACATATGGTTTTGTTTTTTGTCCTGGAATTTGCTAGAAAAACAGCTGAGAATTAGCAATAAGCATTACAGATACTTCAAAGGAATATCTCTGCAGTTGGGCTGATAAACTTCCAAATTAGCTGTTATTTAATTAAAATCAGAATCTCATTAAAATGTTTATTCTGTTCTGATACCTATCCACTGATATAAAATTACATTGGTTTCCACGCAGATGTGTAACCTCTGTTCTAAAAGATTTTTTGGTACTTAATTTTGTGAACAGAACCAACCAAATGCATGTATGTTGCAGACTTAATCTCAAGTGCACAGTTCATAACCACACAGTTCACATGCAAATCCCTGGACTCTCATTGAATGCAGTTCTCAAAACTCAACGGCCACCTTACCTACGGGAAGCCCAGCCATGTCATCTTATTATCTTGTTTAGATGATGTACCTCAGTCCTTCCTCCTATTTGTGGCCCATGTGCCTTCGTTTTGAGTCAGTTCTGTTGGATCTGTTTTTAAAAGCTTTCTTTCTCCTCACTTTTAAAACAATGACTTCTTGGCTCAGTAAGTCACATTTTGAAGTACTTGCAACTGAGCTCTTCTTGTTCTGCCAAAGAGAAGGAAGGGAGGACCAGATTGTGTTTGTGTTTGAAACTCTCTTGAGATTCACTAGCTGAGCTCTGAAAAGTACTGCTAGGACTCTTCCTTTGCTTCTCCCAACATTTCTGCCCTGCAGGTACTTCAAATTGGAGCTTGATGAGAAAATAAATTACTGTTATTGAAAGGAGCTTTAAAAGTTACTTTGAGAGGTTTGTGTTCAGGAGAGACTTGGAACAATAACTTCAAAGCCAGCTGAGCAGAGGATGCTTCTGCACTAGCTGTCAAAATATTTTCTAGGATATAGTAGTTTAATGAAAGTTAAGAGGTAAACCTATTAGTATTTGTATTAAGATGGTAGTTATTCAATTAAATATTTAAGATAATTGGGGGGTATGACTGTTAATCCACTGTGACATTTTCAGGTGTCCTCACTTTGGGTGGTGTTTGAGGTTAATATTCCAGATGCAGCATCTTGTTTTAGACATAAGAAATACTGTAGCTGAACATTAAGACTGTATTAATGTGTAATAAATTGGGTATATTTGATTCAAATTGCAAATAGTTATGTAAAATGAATGGTTGTACTCATGACCAAAATTTGGACCTGAGTTATGCTTTAGCTTTTTAGATCATAATTTGAATCTGATTTAATGGGGGTTTTTTGTTTCTGTTTGGGTTTGTTTGGGTTGGGGGGGGGTTGTTTTGTTGTTTTTTGCACAGTACAGTCATTCATATCGATCAGTGTCAGTCTTATTTTAAATTAGTATTTGCTTTCTTTGGCCAATAACCATTACAAACATGTTGATTTGCCAGTAAGTATAGCAATAGGTACATTTAGCATAAAGGCTAAGTTGGAAGATACACTGTATCTATACATATTTCTTTAAAAGTAAATATTGTTTTTATTTTTATTATTATTTTGGTTTATGATTTGTGTCAACAGCATTTGACTAAAACCTGGAATGCAATTATAAATACACATGGCCAGCATTTTCAAATGTAGTTAAAGCCAGCTTTAAAGCATGTTTTGATAGCTGTTTACATTTACAATGTTCTGGTTTAATAAACAAAGGAAATAGCTAGTTAGTGACACTGAACTGGTTATTTCTGGCCAGTATGGTCTGCAGGTATTTAGAATTGGTAGATCTCATTGTCTTGAGCCTCGTTTTTTCTTCTTCCAAACTTGAGCCTTGTTTTTTCTTCTTTGGAAGAAGAAAAGTTTCCCTGCTTTTTCAACTTCTATGCTGTAAAGAAGCTAATCATTGAACTTCGTTAATTGAATGAACTGAAACAAGGGACATACAAAAAAAACTAGATCTCTTGGTTCCAAAATTATACCTTTTATTAGACCAACTGGAAAATGGCAAGAAAAAAAGGACAATTTTCTTGCCATTTTCCAGTTGGTCTAATAAAAGGTATCATTTCAGAACCAAGAGTTCTAGTTTTTTGTATGTCTTTTTGTCTCAGACCAACACAGCTACCAAGTACAGCCCTGAAACAAGGGAAGCAGTTTCTCTGTATCTGCAGAAGATGCTGCTGTCAGAAGCTGGTTTACCACTTCAGCAGTTACCTGGTGCTTAGGCAGTGATTTTTCACTAGGTCACTGATTTGACTTTTCTTGAAAACATCAGTGGTAAACATGCATGCTGGAATGTAAGTGTTATTGAAATGATCAGTTGTAATAGTAAACAAGCTTTAATATTAATTGCCATAAAAACTGATTTTTAAGTGTTTAGTTTAAACCAAAAATCCATTTTTTCCAGTAACAACTGATTTTTTTTTTCTCCACCTTTTGTGGTTTGTCAAAGGTGAAATGGAAACAGAGGATCCACCAAAGAGATTTTTCCAAGGAACTCCCAGCATGCTTTTGCCTGAAGTGTCTCATCTGACAGACCTTGGGGCATGGTAAGTATTGCTCTGTCTTGTGACTCCAGTCAGGAAGTGTAAAGATGTCTTCATCTAAACACGTGGAATAGGTGGGCATACTTGAACTCATGCAGAGTTAAATAGGATAAACCAAGTATTTTGTAGCATTTTATTTATTATCCATGACTGCTGTGTTAAAGACATGTCACAATAGCCAAGTGGGTTCTGTCCTCTCTGATACAGGGGTGGGCAAAATGCGGCCCGCAGGCCAGATGTGGCCTGCCAGGCCATTCTGTCTGGCCCATGGGGCCACTAAAAATGCAGAAAATTAATATTTATCCACCCCAGCTGCTTGTCATGTGGCCCTCGATGGCTTGCCAAAACTCAGTAAGCAGGCCTCCACCCAAAATAATTGCCCATCCCTGATATGATTAACATTTGCATAACTTAAGCATATTTTGAGAAGTAGGACATTGTTGTTGGCTTCTCTGAAGCTCTGCTTTCAGGAGTCAGGATCAGATTTTTCATATTAATGCCAACCTGAGTTATTGATATTTTCATGTATTTAACTATACATGCAAAAGGTAGTCCTTTCCTAAACTGTAACTATTCTGGTGAAGATTGAAGGAAAACATGTTATGTACAAAAAGTTTAATATGGAATACTACATGCAAAATGATAATGAATGCCTACTTTTGAGTGAGGAGTTTTGTTTCTAATTCTTGTTTGAGTAAAAGAAAACAGCAGTAAATGCCCATGCACCGTTAGAATTTCATATGCCCTGGGAAGTAGGTAATAAATATTTCTTGCTTATTTTACCATCTAGTCTGAGGTAATAATTGTGGAAGGAAAGCACTCCATTTGAAAATCCCCATGGTAAAAGATAAAATGGTAGCGGAGCTGGCTGAATAATCCATTATATTCTTGATTTGTAAATGTCCCGCTAGCGACCAGCTAATCTAATCCATAAACAATTCTTCGGGCCAGTTGAATGAACTAATGAATTGACAAAATGGTTGTTTTTGTTGGCTGGAAACAATTTTATTATAAATTGCTGTGTATTTTGTTATATGGAACAATATAGATGGCATTTACTGGTTTTGAAGTTCTTTGATTCTTGCTGTTAAAGTCCTTAATAGCTAATGGAAGCTAGTATTTTAAATGTCTGAGAAGAAATGGAAATTAGAATGATTGACCAAAATGGGGGAAAATGCAGGTAATTGGCTGTGTGGATACGTGACTGCTTTGCATTAGTAGTATCCCATTTTGAATTTTCTGAAAGCAATCAGTATTTGTTACTTTTCCATAGAGATTTATTGGTGTTGTATTTAGAGGGGAAAAGAATTATTCCTGGAATTCAAGTGGCAATAAATTCTCTAAAATCCTATTTAGTTGCAGTCAAGTAAAACGGATGTCTAGAGCTGGCTACTTGAAAAGACAGGTTTGTTTCAATCTAGTTCCAATTCATTCTGTCAAAGATGTGAAGATAATTGAGTATAAGCCTCCTGAGACTAACACCATGACCCCAAAGTGCTATTCTTTTGTGTGTTGATGTTGTCCTGTGACACTTCCTTTGTTTCCAGTTTGTCTTCCCATACTCTTGATGACAATAGAAACAGCGCTGGATCTTCCTGTGATTCACCAGGTGACGTTGATACCACCACAGATTCTCCAGCCTCACTTCCTGACTCCAGATCTCCATTTCTACCAGTAGATCTTACAGCTAAGTGACCTATCGATTGAGAAACTTTAGTCCCCCGAGTGGCAAAAACAAGCTGGAGAGCAATAAACCTTTCTACAATGTGTGACTGAGTTTCTTATGATCCTGTTCCTCATAGGAACTTTCAGAAATGTCTTTTATTTCTAGAAAACTTCCATTATAATTCCTTGAGGAAGAATTCACGTTTATAGTGATTTGAATGACATTTACTAAAAACAGTAAGCATTTGAACTGTGAACGTGTTCTAAGATATTTTGTGTCTGTACACATGTTGTCGATTTACAACAGATGCTGTGTGGCTGAAGTTACAAGGGGGGAAGCTTGGCATTTTAAAGCTACGTGCTTTCTGTTCTCACTAGTTTAGAATGGTGCTGTTCTAGGTTTCAAATAGCTGCCTTTATTGGATTCTCTCTCCTCTGTCCATCTAATCCCAACTGATCAGTTTATTGATGTTTATTCATTTTATTCCCTGTGGATTAAGTATTTAATTTGCTGTTTTTAAAAATGTAAATGGTATTGTTGATAGATAATTGAAGCTTGAGTCCATGATGTTGGCTATTGATCAAGTTTACATTTGGATTAAGTATGAAAAGAGCAAGTGAGCATGAGTTACCAGCTTACGTTCACATGTCACATTATATTTGGAATCATGATTGCTGGCATGATTAAACGCAAGCTTAACGTGGGGGACGTTATTTGCCAGGGTAGTCAGCTTCCTTTTTCTCTGACTGACTAGTGATGGATACTTGGCGAAAGATTCTTCTGTAGGAAAATAGCAGTCGTATTTTAGAGCAGTGTATTAAATCCCAAAGCCCTGAATGAAATGCTTCAGAAGAAAGGACCGGGCAGTGTTTAAGCCCAAACATTGGAGAGCGTGAGAGCAGTGAGCAAGCGACCCTTAGAATACATGCAAACCGAAGGGATCAAACATGAGCGGTGAACTCTATGTGAATGCAAAACAATCTTTAACTTCTGTCTATGAATAGCAGCCCAGTAGATGTATTAACATGTAGATCTATTAACTATTCCTCAATAACATGGCATGAACTGATTTTTCTGGTGCAGTAAACTTAAAAGAATGGTTAAATGTAGAATCTAGCAACCCAGGAGCAGATTGCAGGATTCCTATAATAGGTTTAAAAAAAGACAGTCTATCCGGAGGTAGTCTGATCTCAACAGTAAAAGATCCCCAGGTATCTGCTATCCTCACATAGCTTGATGTAGTGAAGTTTTGTTTTGTTCCCTTCCCGAGTGTTAAGGCCACGGTGCGTTGTGGGAAACGAGCAGTGAATATAGGGAGGCTTGTCGACAAGCTGGTGGTATTGCAGTTCCCCATCATTGTGGCTGATTCATGCACAAAAACTTTGACAGGGCAGAGGCGGCACACAAGAAGGAAACTGAAGTTGGGAAATATGAAGATCTGTGATGATGGAGGACTGAAGATTTATTTCCGTTCTTCTCCTGTAATAATTACATATAGTATTTATCTCATGGTCTCTTAGCTGCAGCGCGACAACACAGTTTATTATAGACTCTTCATGCTTCCTTATTACACAATTCACTTTTCTAGTGTCTGACGCTTGCTTTCCCGCCTTCCCAATTACAGACAAGCAAAACTTTAATAGCTATTTTCTCTTTAATATATAGTATAACTTTATTTTGTAATATCAAACATGCCAAAGACTTATTTTGTATTCATTGTCTTCTGCAGTGGGGACACGACTATAGATTTTTATGCTTATCTTGTTTTTTCACAGATGGACCTTTTTATGTCTCTGTTCCAGTCCTTTTTAAAAGATGCATGAGCAAAAGGCAATGACAACAGTTGTATTGTATGTGGGGTCAACATGTCTTTTCTCTGTTAAATATTTATGCTGGTTTTGCAAATAAGTGCCAATAAAGAAAATTAGAGAAAATAAGGATGGCGTGCTGTTTCTGGGACACGCTTCTTACCCAAGACTGTCACCATGTCCTTGTCGCTTTCTCCTCTGGTTCATTCACGTGTTTAATTCCTTGAATCAAAATGCTTTCTGCAACCAGGCCTGGGTAAGTTCTTTTGCAAGCTTGATTGAAATTCCTTAGCATGTTCTCAGTTCAGCAGCACTCCCTTGCAGCAGGCAAAGCTTGTAACAAGTTCAGGTAAACTTAAAAACAAATGGGTTTTAATCGTTTTGGAAATAGTCATTGCTCTTCCACTTGTGCAGACATCAAATAAAGTGCTTGCTATGCCACCTGGTATACTGCAGTGCAGAGATTTGTAATGAAAATGTGCTTCATTTTAGAAAGCTAGCTATTACAACAGCTGGGGAAGTAGGAGGCACTGAGCTCCCAGGAAGAAATGGGGGAGAGATGTTATGACTTTGCACTCACAGGCAGTTGTTACTCTTGGAACGGAGGAACTTTCACATCTCTGCAGCATTTCCCTTCCCCTGCTTTCCCCGCCCCCTCCCCCCAATTTACAAAAACAGAAAACCTATGAGTATGCAGTGAATGCAGCGCTCATTTGTCATTGTTCATGCTGTTGGCCAGTTGCGGTGCTGTGCCTTGGAACTTGAAGGACTGGACACTTCTTTCACTTGAAAGAAAACTACCTCCTGGAGCAAAACTATGCTGAGAAATCAGAGAACGAGATTGTGTGCTCGTTTGCATGGCCACGTAGCTGTGTCAAACGCGGTTCTAACTGGTGACTAACAGCTCTATTCATCCCTGTTATGCTACACTGATCATCTTGGTAATTCTCCATGTATGTGTCAAAACTTGTGAATGTGCATCTAAAAGTCCTATTCGACTGGCATCAGGCTAGCTCCGCTCTGACCATCTTGGATTCTTCTTCGATTCAGTCCTCTTACCCTTACGCTGCTGGGGTGCAATGCTTGACTTTCCCAGTTCTTGGACCACGTTTACGGTACCCTGTATATCAACCCTTTTTCTCGCACATCTCGCTGTTTGGGAACCTTTCAGGATTTTGTGACCGGCGTCCATTCTTAAACCCCACCTGCATGTGTGAGCAGCAGGAGTAAAGCTTGTGGAGAAAAAGGTATCAAAAATACTCATGTCTTACCTGAAACTCTGACCATGCTTTGATGTACCAGATCTAGCTCCTCCAGACACTGCAGCCAGTGTTTGAATCTGTTTGGCTCTCCTGAGCAACTTCTAGTTTCCTCTTGAAAGGTAATGATTTGTCCTAGCTCTCTGTTCCCTGTCTTTGGCTCCTTTGGTGAAAAGCAGTCGTGCCGGCCGCACCGAGAAGAGAGAAGCAGCATCTTTGGAGCTAATGATTCTGATTTTGTCCTTTGATAATTACTGTGTTTGCTGTGATGTAGCTATACTAGGCCCTTCCGGTCTGTCCCTCCAAATTGAGTTAAATCAACATGTTCCTGCAGCGAAATGATCAAGCCAACATAGAGCATGTGAAGCATTGCAGCTCTGAATCCGTTACAGCTACACTTGAGCTGATTGGAATAAATCCCTGAAAAAAAAATTCCTCAAAGCTCGTAGAGTTTTAAAAGTAAACTAAACGAATGTATTTCTTGCCGTATTTTCATCCTTGCTTTATATCCACCCTGGCTTCCTCCACATCCACCCTTCACTTTGGGTTTTGATGCTCCTTGGCAAGGTCTCACCTGATAAATGTTATTACCAAAAATCCTTTAAAGCAAAGATGATGGAGTTTTTCTTAAGACACGCAGTTGGCTGCATAGCTTTTGCTGCTGCTCTGCTGTGGCCATCGAGTAGCAGCCGTTGGCCCAAATACTCTCTCTGTTCCCCTTCCCCTCCTATTCTTTCTACTCCGTGGTGTGTGCGCTAATGGAATTATAATTGCTTTAAACTATAAATGAACTCTTTGTGTCCTAGTTTTTAAGAGGATTTTTTTTCTGGCCACTGGGTGGCAGCTTGTGTTCCGGGGGCTGCGTATTGGGAAGAACGTGTCATTTTGTGGCTAGAACTGATGCCTCAAACCCTCATTGATGCTCGAAAGGGAGGCCTTGATTTAGAAGGGCTTCCTTGCACTGACATGGAGGAGCCGGGAAGAAGCAGCCTCTGCCCCGTTTTTAATCTGACTTGGAGCCCATCTGATATATGTGAGGCGGCACCTCCCCCCCCTCCACCGCCAGTCCTTGCTTGCGGGTTCTTGGCGTGTGGCTGGTGCTGCTGACCAAATTCTCCAACACCAGCCTTCGTCGGTACTACCTGTGCTTGGCAGGCAACTGGGGCAGCTCTGGGCCAGGTAACAAAAGAGCAGCCTCCAGCAAGGGATTTCCCAGATTTTTCAGACCAGGCAGGAAATGAGCCCATGTAGTTCCAGGACTAGAAGACCAAGGGCTCTGGGAGGAGTTGCCTGGCAATGGCCCGGTGTTATGTGGTTTGCACTCGATCAGAGGGGCAGGGGACCTCTGGTCCCGAATGTCCGGCAGAGAGGGGTGGGCTTTGCTTTAGCTTCTGGGTGCACGAACGTGAAATCTGCACCTTGTTGGTCTCGTGCAGATCCCTGAGCCTGGAGGGGGGAGCCTGCTGCGCCGGAGTTTTAATCCTTTTACTCTGCTCCCGTTTCTGCTTCTGAAAAACATGCCAAATTGTCTCCTAAGGAACTTATGGGGCTTCATGAATTAATATTTATTTTGAAAATGAAGCGTTATAAAAGTCCGAAGTGTTTCCCTAGCTGACAACACAAGAGCGTGTCCATCAAAGCTGGGCTTGCTTGAGTTGAGATTTTTTTTCAGCAAACTTGTATAACAAAGAGAAGAATGATTACCCTCTCTTTCTCTCCTCGCTTCTGGCTTTGATTTTTCTTTACATGCTCTACCTGTAATCATGCTATGAAAATGATATTATTTTAACCTGTGATCTCTCAACCCATTGGAGTTTGCAGTTCTATTACTTGGATGATGAGCTCATTACAGCATTGGAAAAATATTGTGCTATTGCTGAACTATCGCCTGGGATATGGATGCAAGTATGTCTCACCTGAGCCTGCATTCAGGCAAGCGCGTTCCTTGTCAATTTTTCTGGAAATGCACACACAGCTGGAAAACAGTTACCTACTTAGATTTATATCCCACCCTATCCAGAAAAGCTCGGAGCAGCTAACCCAACATAATTACCATGAACAAAAATAACTTCCTAGAAGCAACTGAGCCTATCCAAGGCTCTTTGAAGTCATGGCTAGATTGTGGTGTTAACCTCTTGCTCTGCGGGTTGGAGGTGCATTTGCTGTCGGCGGTGGGTTTTTGCACTGGAGACCTCAGCAGGTGCCTGAGGTGAGGGGTTAATGTCTTTGGGGATGGATTATGTGATTCTGGAGCACTTCCTACAGGTGCCATGTAGTCGTTTGCTGAATGATGCCCAGTGCTGATGCCTTCAGATTTTTGCCTGATAAGCCGCCGGCTAGACCTGTAATTGCATTAGTGGAAAAAATACACTCGAGTGTGTTGTTCTTGATGTCTTTGTTGGCTCTACCTAATCTTTTGTGTCAAACTGGAAACACTTGATTTATGTTCCCTTGCAGCCCGTATACAATTCCTTGTTCTTTGTTTGCAGTTCTTCTGTACCACCCGTTCTGAAGCATGCCCTTGTGTTTGTTCCTTCCTTTGTATCTCCTCCCTCTTAAGTGGAGGACAGTGTGACTCAGAATGATTGCAGTCACTTATTTCGGTATCTATGTTCTGCCACTGCAGCATAGCAAAGACATCCTGTTATTCAGCCAAGCTTTATAATTGCTTTTTCTTTCTGTGTCGGAGAGATCGTCGGTAGCCTTGGTCGTGCGTCTGCGGTCGCAGTCCTGCTCTCACATTATTTGCTTTGCTTGTTCGATGCTATTTCTAAGGCCAGTGCACATTACTTGGCACTTATTAGAAGGAAATTTCACTCGGTGGGGACAGCTTGGTTATATGTTTTTCTGCCTTGTATCTGTGCCGGGTCTGTGTTACTTGCAGATCCCTTACCGAGTCAGCAGCAAAGTTTAGCTCACAACGGGGAGCTCTGTCCAGGATGTGTGTGGGGCAGATTAGAAAAAGCAGGCTAACTACCCTTGAAAGATCCTCCTCAGTTCTTCCCGTCATAACTAGCATTTGCCATCACAAATGCTGTCTGCGCACAACTTCAGCATTTGTGTTCATGTCTGTCTTGTGCCCGTCACTCACTGGTGGAGTTTCTCTCGGACCTTTCCGTATAACCTGTATGTACGCTTTCTTTAGTAATCCCGCAGCTCCTTGCATGCTTGTGTGTGTGTGTGTGTGTGTGTGTAAGGAGGGGCAGAGGGTGCTGTCCCTGGCCTATCATCAAAATTTGCTCAAGCTTTCCTGCCATTTTGCTGTTACCATCCTGTTCAGCAATTGCCATTATTTATGATGCACCATAAAGACCCTAGCCTAAGGGAACCTCGGTCTGTCTCCCTTGTGATGCAGCTTACCTGATTTGTCTGTAATAACCTGGGTGAGTGGTTCAAGTGCTCCATTTACTTGAGTGATGGGGTCTGAACAGCACAGTCTAGGTCTCCGGAGTAGCGTGCTTCCAGGAGGCGCTCAGGAGCACAGACTTGGATGTGACGCAGGCATTTCCCACTCCAGGGATCCATGTCAAAATATTATCATGCAGCAGACATAAATTATCACCCAGACTAGTATTTGTGATGGTTGTTAATACGGCTGAATTGCAGGCTTGGAAAGCCTACAGAACGTCGGCATAACTTCGCAGCCTGGGTGCAGGAGGCACTCTTCTTTCCTGCACTATTAGTAATAGCGTGCTCAGATCTGCAGCCTGTTTCCCCAAGATGCTTCCATTGCAGAACAAAGCAAGAGGCCAGTTTGGAAGGAGAGGCATCAACTGGGAGAGTGGTAAAGTGGGTGTATGGCCCTAAGGAATTGGGACCATGGTAGCTGTTCCTTCCTGATCCTTTTAACATTTGGACTTTGTAGACATGCACCAG